CGGCGTGAGCGGCAATTTGGTCGCCAGTATCGCGAAGACAAATATTGGCTGCCAGAGTTATATGGCACCTGAACGTATTGCAGGAGGTGGCGTGCAGCAGTCCGGCGCGACTGGTGGTGGAACCTATAGTGTGCAGAGTGACATCTGGAGTTTGGGCCTGACCATTATCGAATGCGCCATCGGTCGCTATCCATATCCTCCAGAAACTTTTAACAACATTTTCAGCCAGTTGCATGTAAGACTTTCCCAACCCCTTCTCAATCCATTCGCGTGGCCGAACACTTTCTAATGTCATTTTAAGGCTATCGTGCATGGGGATCCGCCAACATTACCAGAGCAAGGTTATTCGGAAGAGGCGCATGCATTCGTTCGCGCTTGCTTGGATAAAAATCCCAGTAAGCGCCCTTCGTATAGTACGTTGCTCAGACATCCCTGGCTTGCTCCCTTGATGCAACCCCCGACGGAGTCAAATGGTACCGATGCAACATCTGCCGCTTCGTCTGACGGCCAACCTGGCGGGCCCGATACCAGCACTGCGACCGAGGATGAGGAAGTGGCGGAATGGGTCAAGGAGCGAATTGAACGTCGCCAACGGGGGCAGCTACAAGAGTCAGAGAAACCTGCGTTGCATGCCGTTGCTCTGGATGCAGTGCCCGGTAGCCCTCTACTTGATGATCCCTCCTCTCTACCATCAGTTTCTTAGGACAATCTCCTCTGCTCAGCTCATCTCTTATAACACCTGAACATTTCATTCTCCTCAATAATTCCCCTTCTCTTATCTTCTATTTTCTGTTGGATGGAGCGAGTGCATGAACGGAGGACTTGTTGGCGCGGGCGCCATCTGGTCAATTCTCCATTTATTTCAACCTGCAAATTCTGTCATCATTGATGCTGTCGTTTTGCTCGAACTCACGTCTAAATGCTGCAAAGCTTTACTGGAGTGTGTTGGATTCCGAGATGTAAAGTACCGGCAGCTTGAATTCGCATTGTCTCTCATGTAAATAGATACATAACGTTTCGATACCCCTATTTCGGGTTAGATATTCTCCCAGAATAGGACAACCACATTTATCTCATATCGTTCTCGAAACCTTGAGCACCCGACTCTCTGAAGGATTTGTCATTTTTGTGCCATTCATCACCAAACGCTTAGCAATCAATCGCGTCACGTGTGGCTGTGATGACTGAATCTCCAGCCTCAAGCGCCAAAATCAGCGCCTATCGGCGAAGTCGGCGTCCATCTTCGGAAGATTAGGAGACTCGGAAAGCGGCCGTCAATCTTATAAGATAGTCATTGAGAGGCAATTGGTCGTTGTGGACCGTAATCTGATTACACTGATTCCTAGTACCTCACATAGTAGTCGATCTATTCTGCTGACTTCTTGTGTGTCAGCAATCCGTATTCTCCGTCATCCACCACATCCGGGTTCCCCGCCAGCTTCAATCCTGGGAGCGTCTATTCTAGCTCTTGATTACTCTAGCTAACTTTGCCCCTCCATCCATCCTCCCCTCATTCGACATCCACCACCTGCAGAGGGGTAACAAAAAAAACAGAAAAACCGGACCTCCATGCTTTCCCGCTCCTCGCTCCACATTCTGCTTCCAGCTCAAGCATTCAAACCTCGTGTGCCGCAACTGGTCCGTTCATCAACTATCGTTCAGTCTGCTCGAGTCATTTCTACAGTTGCAGATCGACGAGCCAAATCTGCGATTCGAAAACTGGATTCTCCCACTGTGATTTCCAAGACAGCGCCCCGTCTCGCCTCTCTCTCTCGACACTTTTCATCGACTGCGGTTGCGGCGGACTCCACCAAGATGGCTCCTACGGACGTCCAGCAGTATGACTATATTGTTTTGGGTGGTGGTAGTGGTGGTAGCGGTAGCGCCCGGCGTGCCGCTGGCTGGTACGGTGCGAAGACACTGATTGTCGAGAGTGGACGGTCTGGTGGTACTTGCGTCAACGTCGGGTATGTTTTGTGCCTTGCCCCCCAGGGAAGCGTGGGATATGCTAACTAAAGGGTCTGCAGCTGCGTGCCCAAGAAGATGACCTGGAATTTCGCTTCCATCAATGAAGCTCTTCACGTCGGCGAGCACTACGGCTACGACATCCCCAAGGACATCAAGATCAACTACCGTCAATTCAAGGAAACCCGCGACGCCGTCATCAAGCGTCTTAACGGTGCCTACGAGAGAAACTGGGGCAAGGAAGGCATCGACCTCGTGCACGGCCGCGCTCGGTTTGTCGAGCCCAAAGTCATCGAGGTCACGCTCAATGACGGCGGAAAGACTCGGTACTCGGCGCCTCACATCCTCATCGCGACCGGTGGCCGGCCCATCATTCCCCCTGTCAAGGGTGCCGAACACGGTATCACCAGCGACGGGTTCTTTGAGATCGAGGAGCTTCCGCCCAAGGTTGCTGTTGTGGGTGCTGGTTACATTGCCGTCGAGCTGGCTGGTGTGATGGCCGCCGTCGGCGTGGAGACCCACATGTTCATTCGGGGCGAGACGATGCTGCGAAAGTTCGACCCTATGATCCAGAAGACGATGACGGAGCGGTACGAGGCGACCGGCGTGCGCATCCACAGGAAGCACGGCGGGTTCAAGGAGGTGCAGCTGCTGAAGGACGGCAAGGGCAAGGACAAGGTGCTCAAGCTGATCGGCAATGACGGTTCGGAGGAGGAATTCAACGAGGTGCTGTGGGCGATCGGTCGTGAGCCCGAGGTCGGGGATCTGGATCTCGAGATTCCCGGCGTGAAACTCAACGAAGGCGGCCACGTCATTGTCGACCAGTACCAGAATACCTCGGCGGAAGGTGTTTACGCCCTTGGCGATGTCACTGGCGTTGCGGAACTGACACCAGGTACGTTACTTTCTTCTTTGTCCGTCTGTTGAACAACGTGACTAACTACTTTTGCTTCGTGTAGTCGCCATTGCAGCCGGTCGCCAACTCGGCAGCCGTCTCTTCGGTCCCCCGGCCCTCAAATCCGCCAAACTGTCCTACGAGAATATCCCCACCGTGGTCTTCGCGCACCCCGAAGTCGGCACCATCGGTTTGACCGAGCCGCAAGCCCGCCAACGCTACGGTGACGATAAGATCAAGGTTTATTATACCAAGTTCACCGCGATGTACTACGACGTCCTACCTGCTGAGGAGAAGAAGAAGAACCCGACCGAGTTCAAGATTGTGTGTGTCGGTCCCGAGGAGAAGGTAGTCGGTCTGCACATTCTGGGTCTCGGCGTTGGCGAGATGCTGCAGGGTTTCGGTGTCGCGATCAAGATGGGCGCCACCAAGAAGGACTTTGATAGCTGTGTTGCTATCCACCCAACCAGCGCAGAGGAGTTGGTGACCATGCGGTAGATTTTAGTGAGCTAGACCTAGATAACGTGAATACAATAGACATTGTACATGAATATATAAACTTGAGCGGTATTGTCAAAACTTTAACAATCCAAAGAAAATTGGCTATTATTCAATGAAACTTAAGTAGACAGGAAATAAAGAGAAATCAAAGAGCTCATTATCCCTTATCATACATACATATATAGATATTATTTACATCGATTCATATAATATATGGTAAAAAATGTGAGGGACGACAGCAACAGACCCCACCCAACCAACAACAGTTGGAACAAAAAAAGATGGTGAAAAAAGAAAGGGCCCGAACCGCGATTCGAACGCGGGTCTCATCCATACAGAGCTCTTTTGAGAGCCGAAGTGCTAACAGACCCCGAAGGATGAATCTTACCCCTGGACCATTCGGGCCGGCTTATGGAAAAACCACATAAACTATAACTTATCAAGAGCATTTAATAGCGAAAAAAGTACCCGCTTTCTACTATCCATTGGGGCAAACAGGGACGTCGTGGGTGTAGTGCTGTCGTTAGCCCGATGTTGACCCGTAAATTATAAGTAGCTAGCAGAAGTAATAGGTCCCCAAGGATCCATGGGAGATGTTCCTGCGTGGGTTTGCGCCGCGAGCAAGAGTAAAGCATCTGCGAGAATGGCAGCCTTCAACACTGTACTTTTCTAGTCTGATGTTGCGTTTCGAGGTGCCGTTGCTGTGTCGCGAGGATGAGAATCGGCGTACTACAAGTCCACAGCTTGACCTTCAGAGAGTATATCTATTGGGAATGCGCCCCATGGCAGACAGGCTATGATTTGCATCCCTAAAGATGTACTTCTATAAATAATAAGGAAAGATAGTTTACAAGACATAAGGGTACTCTGGCTTTATTACTGCCTAATTGCTGTAATGCATGAACAATAAAGAAATATTCAGAGCCCCAATATACTATGTGACTATGTACACTACTATAGAAGTTACATTTGATGTGAGACACACTCTCATTTACTCATGCTTGAGTGTAAAACGGTTTGTTATAGACCAGTATGATCAAATGGATTTTTGCGTTGATATCGCCTGGCTTTGTAGCCAGCGATCGTCTAACCACATTCTCAAGTCCACGGCAAGCACCAAAGGCAAGAGCGGTATGTTTTCCTGGCATCAGTAACAAGATAATTCCCTTTCAAAATAAGTATATCAGTTTCCTCTTCGGCGCTTTCTTGTCACTGATGCTGGGATAAAGGATTTTCTCGGATAATGGCCAGCTGTGTCTACTGGACATCGGTGGTATTGAACAGGATGCTGTTCAACCGTCATTAGATATGGGCTGGTGTCAAACCCAGATGCTTGCCCTGTAGTCGTTTATCTTATGCTTCGGCAATGGTGCTAAAATCCATTCTTTACAGGTTAGCAACAACAAGACAATGACATGAAGCAGATACCTTAATCAGAGATACTCACAGAAGATGACTCATTAGTACTGCTGTTCGAAGCCTGCAAACAGGGACATCGTGGGTGTGGTGCTATCATTTAGCCCGATGTTGACCCGTACTGTGCGGGTGCAAGTAACTACCGGGACGACGGTGGACTACACCGAACTCGTCAGCCACAAAGTAACCAAAACGAAGAAGGTCAAACGTATTGCAACTACCTTCAGAAGACGCAGTCGTTTGCAAGGCGAACGGAGGGGGAGAAAAGTTCTTCGAACCCTTTCCGGCTTTCGATCGAGTCGCGGTAGCTGGACCGGAACCAGCAGGCGAGGACTCCGAGGTACCTTCGCGAGTATCGATCTTGGATTTGCGAGGAATTTTTAAACGGAGGACGCGTCTCTATGATTTCGCTAGGATCAAGGGGCCAGTCGCGGACTTCATCGCCATCTTCGAGGGCCGCCAGCAAACCTCTGGTGGTGGCGGCGGTATTGGTTTTATCTGATTTCAGCTGTATAAACCACATTATCAGTATCCATGCTCACAAAGATGATGATCACCCGAGATGTCAAGATGTGTTTTGGCTTTGATAGACTTACCTTGAGAGCTGCAATTAGACTGAGAAGATTTTGTAATGTGGAGCAATCTTTTTCACCACCGCAACTCGCAACGGCACACGTATCGCAACCCTGCATTACCTTCATTGAGCAGTGATCGTGAAGATCCCATAATGTTACTTACTGCCATGGTGTGTTTTGATGTAATAGAATGGTTCGGTTGGAGGATTGAAAAGAGTAGACTGTAAATGAGGATGAGGAGGTGGTGGTGGTGGTGGTGGGATCAAACTCAAACCGGAGAACTAAAGATCCCACCACCACCTCCTCATCCTGAAAAGTAGACTATAAATGAGGATGAGGAGGAGGTGGTGGTGAGATCAAACTCAAACCGGAGAACTAAAGATTCCACCACCACCACCTCCTCATCCTGAAAAGTAGACTGTAAATGAGGATGAGGAGGTGGTGGTGGGATCAAACTCAAACCGTAACGGTCATGATATCCGCTTGTCAAAGTAGACTGTAAATGAGGATAAGGAGGTGGTGGTGGGATCAAACTCAAACATGGTGAAGGAGAGAAAAAAATCCGAGATAGGGGAAGGGGTGAGAGGGGGTTTTCTCTCATTAACAACCACCTACACATGAGACACGTTCCACAAAGTGAAGTTAATTATGTACTCTCTGCAGGACGTAGTGCACGGTGGCTGCTTCTAACCAATCTCTAATTCACTGCTGTGGAAGTGTCTAGACTATATATAAAGGGTCTTGCATTCTTATATTCACTACTGCTTGATTATTATTGGCAGTCATGATTTGTATTCACTCCATCATAAGATCTAAACAGCTCAGATCTTGGACGGGCCTAACATATTCACCTAATCCAATATACCCAGTATCACGCCACTCTGGTTCCCTGTTGCTTTTCTTTGGCTACTGCAGACGTTCTAGACAGGAAGAATACATAATGCATTTGATTCCATCGGGTTCCTTTATCTATTTCATCTATCTGCATCGGAGCCATATGGTTGCTTGATCTATACCATGGCATGACGAGGCTTCGGTCTGCGGAAGTCAATGGCCCCCTTGGGTCTGGGCCTCAAGCCCCTTTTCACAATGCGAGTCAGGACTTCGAGGAGAAGGCACCCAACCAATCCCATACGCAGGTCCAATTGAAGGACTGGGGTGGAATGCCCTGGAGGCGATGATTCATTTACGGCACCGATTGTGAAAGACCTTAAAGCTTAGTTTAAGCGGGTACTGCTCTGGGTACCTAAGGCTAAACAACAATGGCAACGATGAGGTTGTTCTGGTGGTAAAGAATGCTCATTGAGATTTCATGGTAGTCAAACCTTTCTTCTCTCTGTTTTCCTTTTTGTTTTTCGCCTCTTGTGGTTCAAGTCCAATTCTTCTCATGGCAGTAAGTAACATTATGGGACCTTCACGATCACTGCTCAATGAAGGTAATATAGGAGTGTTCTACATGTTCAGTAACCAGTTGTTCCGGCGGTTCACAATGTTCGACATTAACGAATATTCTCACCTTGATTGCTGCTCTGAAGGTAGGTCTATCAAAGATAAAACCACATCTTGACATCCTGGGTGATCATCATCTGTGTGAGCATGGATACTAATAATGTGGTTTATACAGCTAAAATCAGACACCACCAAGAAAGCCACCACCACCAAGAAGAAACGTCATCGTTCGGCGAATCAGAAGGAACGATCGAGAAAGTTCTTTGAACAAAAAATGAATGAGAGGAGGGTTGCAGCAGCAGCAAAGAAGGAAACCCTGTTACCGTGCTCATGAGGTATTCCTTGGCTGCAATGGAGAAAAAGAGAGTGCCACGCTGAAGAACATCTTATGTCTATTGGCTGCAATGAGAGTAAGTCAATCCTACTTTTCCATTACACACTTGACATCTTGGGCAATCATTGTCTATGGAAATATGGATACTAATGATGTGGTTTATACAGTTCGATAAGAAAGACGCCGAAAAGGAGAGGAAAACATAGATAATTCGCTTGAAGACCTTGGTGCACTTTCATTTGATCGACGAGAGACTGCCCCTTAAGCTAGCCCAAACCCTCGGCGCAAGTTTGACTTCTAAGGACGAAATGTTTCTAGTTTCTGCAGCTTCCACCAGGTATCGCCAATAACGCAGATGAATGGCCACTCCTTGCGGCACCAATGAAATACGGTCCCATCCATACAAACACCGATGGCTCTCGGCCTAGATCCACGGCAGAGAGCGCAAGCGCATCACCAGGCCAGCATCAGCAAAGCCTTCTTTAGATTCGCTATCCTACGTGTTCACCATTGACTCCGGCTACGACTGTAAGACCGTCGGCCCGACGGGCGATTACTTGGGATAATGAGACTAGGAAGAAGAAACATAGATCGCCTAGTTAGAAAAAGAGGTCGGCAGAGTTCTTTCGTAAAAAATGGAGGAACGGAAAGCTGACTGCCACCACCACCACCACCACCAAGCCTCCGAAGAGGAGGCGTCGTTCACCCAGTCAAAAAGAGAGATCCCGAAAGTTCTTTGAGAAAAAGATGAATGAGAGGAGGGCTGCAACAGCAGCAAGCCTCCGAAGAGGAGGCGTCGTTCACCGAGTCAGAAAGAGAGATCATGCAAATTCTTTGAAAAGAAGATGAATGAAAGAAAAGCTGAGACTACTACTAAGCCTCTGAAGAGGCGTCGCCGTTCGGCAAGTCAGAAGGAGAGATCAAGAAAATTCTTTGAAAAGAAGATAAATGAAAGAAAAGATGCGATAGCAGTAAAAAAAGAAATCCTATTACCGTGCTCCAGAGGTAATCCTTGGCTGTGGTTGGGATTCTAAGGCAGATATCTGGAATTTTGGCGTGCTGGTAAGACCCCTGTAACTGTTTTCTGGAAGTGAATGTACAATATAATGGGCTTTATGCTTCCCTTTCTTTCGGTCATAATCACTGGCTTAGACTTAATACTAATGATCCTGTTTGGCAAGTTGTGGAATATCCTTGGGAGCAAGGAGGTGTTCCAGCAGGTGCATGATACTAAAGGCCAATATAAAGCAAAGTCACACCTCGCGGAATTGATTGCCCTACTCAGCGCGCCCCCCAGGGCATTGCTCGCAAAATCAAAGGCCATGTCAAAGCTCAACTGGCCCCAGCCTATCACGAACGACACTGGCAAATTCTGTAAGAGGCTGAAGAATTCTTCGATGGCCCTTTCTTTAACACAGAAGGTGGGTTGGCTAGTACTCGTACGTCAACACCTGGCATACTGACCGTTCAAGACGAATTCTGCCATAATGAATTGATTCCGAAGCTTAGAGGACACAGCCCAATTCCTCGAAGGGAAGGATCGAGGGTGTTTTTATCCTTTGTTCGACAAATGGTCACCTGGCTCCCGGAGAAGAGGAAGACAGCTCGCGAACTGATGGATCATCCGCTTCTCAAACCGGGGGGTTGATCAACAGCCGGGGAAAAAACTTTCTGAAAAGACAGCAAAAGACCAAAAAACATACAACAGCCGGGATTCGCTGGTGGTCACCCACCCAACTACTAACCGGCCGGCGTGTGGCTTAAGTACGGCTGAGCGGACGGGAAGCCCTGTTTTCCACACCCTATGGTCGTATGTACTAGTAATCCAAGCTAGTACAAATCATATATCAATACGTATTCAATCTCTTATACGGTGGTGGAGTGGTATCTGACAGTGTTTGTTTTCCAAGCCTAACTCTACAATGTTGGCTTACCGCCTGGATACGTGCTAAAGCGTCATCTTTTCACACGCCTCTAAGACCGAGGTAATGCCAACGGCTACGGGTTTAAAGCATAGAATTTGAAGAGCATACTGCAAGACCAATGAGGTCGCAACTCGGTCATAAGCCTGGACGTTATCTTTCTACCACTATGATTGTATGGTGAGTGTTTATGCAGGGAAGACCCCAAATTGGAGGAAGACGACAAAAGGACTGCAGAGTATCTGTATCTCCAGGATTAGTACCGGGTCTGTTGTTGGATTAAACACAGGAATCAAACCTACCCGGCGGTGGCTGCAAGCATCTCGAGTGGCTTCCCGAGAGTGGAGGATGCCAGCACAGAGAGGAAGACAAAGATAAAGACGGTAATGACGCCGAGTCGTTGTCTGAAGTCATCTAATGCCTGGAGGATCCAAAGCGGAGCAACGAACATTACGATCCCAGCCACGAAGATGGCTATTGATGAAAATACTCTGATATGTTTGTCGCTGGTGTAGTACAAGGTCTCACGATCAACATCCCCCAAGTTTTGATGCGTCCGTTGTCGGAATAGTGGGAGGAGCAATTTGGTCCGCATGATCATCCAGTCCTCAAATAGCTCGCGCGTTTTTGACTGATCCTTGCTAACTGGAGAACTGTCTCCTCTTCGGAAATTGCTTCCTGGATGGTTAGCGAAGAGCCAATTTCGTACACTTGAACGCATCGTTTTCGGGCCGATTTTTTGGATCTGAGCTGAGCGTAGGGTAGAATAAGCCTGTCTGAACACAGTGAGCAAGCAATATCTTCAGTGATTGCATGTTGAAGAAAACGAACAGTACTCCTCCAACGAGTGGCGTATTTCAACAACCAACTTCTTCCTATCTTCAAGGTCATCTCGCACTGTACCATTGTTCACTTCACAGCCGTCACTTTAGACCTCTTGATATTGACTGTTCAAGCACCCTAGGTTCTCTTCCAGCTCGGACATATGATCCTGGCGATATAGAAGGCTTCGGACGAAGAGTTTGTCGAATCGTCGGATCACAAGGCAGTCCGGATCGGAAGCCATATACGTTGCAAAGCCACTATATCTGATGTACCTCCTGTGCGGGTACTTGAATAAGTGTCAGACACACAACCTCTTCCATGGCAGCCTCACCAAGGCTTTTCGTCAATCTCGGCTTTCGTAGGCGGAGATTTACCTGAGGAGCGATGCACACTACTTTGTTGAGAAATTGGCGTGGTAACTGGGAGCATTTCGCAGGGTAGGGCGCAGTCAGTGCTTTCAGCTGTCAAATGTCGGCTCTATCCTGGATGAACGTTCCATCTAACTCGTGTCAATATACGGCAGTAGCATAAAGCAAGGAAAGGGAACGGTCACAAGTAGCAAGGCCCCTATGTTGTTCGAGATGCCACTACTGCCGCACGAGCTCATGCCGCGGGCTGAAAGATTTACGCGCTGGAAGATGCAAGCCATGACATGTCTCCTTTCTTGAATGTGTAATGTGATGTCTGAGAAATGGTTCATTGGTCCTCATTGAGTCTGTTTAGATGTGTTGACGCCCAATGCCTGCACCAACAAACCATTACTGTATGATCGATGCGCGGCCACCATCGTCCTCAGCCTTTTCCCCGCAAGTCTGGGAAGCAGCCTTGTCCAATAATTTTGTGGCAGCAAGGCTGGGAAACTTGATGCATTGTAAGCCCGCCTTTGGCGCCAATCGAAATATATCCTTCGATGGCAGCCTCGTCCCATCTATACTTGTCCTAACTAGTTGGAAACAGAAACCTCTACTTCTCAAACATCATCCAACCTCATCAGTTAAGGTTGTACCCTGCCAACTCAAATTCTGCTCCATCAGACAGCCAGAAGCCCCTTACGGAAGTCGATCCACCCGCGATATGACGAGTAGCTTTCTCATAGCTGGTGCCGTTGCTCTCGGTGTGCTGTATTCGATTGAGGGTCGGAGTGGAAACATCACCGAAGCCCCTCAGGACAAGCCAAAGCCAAAGCCAAAAAACAACCCAAAATCCAGATAGCTTGGAAAGTGCTTCTTTTCTCGACTGCTATAAGGTGCACGCTTAGGTTTGATCTACATCAATCTAATCACGAATTATGCTCCGACCAAAGCAAGGAACGTCCAGGAGCAGGCAATTCTGATCTCCCACCTTAAGTTGAGGCACAATTGTCCTTGAGGTAGTGGACAATGACAATATCGATGACTGTTTCATTTGCTAATGATTTTCAGAGCTCATTCTCTCGTTAAATATATAAAATAGCTAGAAAATACAAGGACTGCAGTATCACAAAAGTTGTCGATAAGCACTATAGGTCGTATCAGAATGACGTATAGCATCATCACTACAGTGAATATTATTCATGTACTTTTCAACTTGATTGTCTCACTTTCTCTATAAATGAATCATAGGGCTATTCATAAGCGCTAGATTTATTTATACCTATTTTGGTGGTTAACTTCGCAACCACCAGCGTTCCAGTCCCTGCCGCCGCACTCCTGCATAACCTGCACTGGAACCCAGAACTAACAGAAGGCTGTGTGGTGGTCTATGATTTATTTTTAGGCGAACCTGCTATATAAGAGTCTCAAGAGTGCTGGTCTGGATCCTTTGCCTAAGGTCAACTTCCTGCCATCTTCCCCTGTATTTCGTATCTTTTAGGCCCCCATAGGTTTTGAATACTTCTTTTCACTTTGTCTCATATACGGACAGCCATGGAATCCAGTTCGAAGTCTGCATCCAGTCGAACTCAAGAGTGCCTCGCAGAGCTAGAGGCTCGGTTCAAGTTAGAGCCCCTTGGCTACCATTACCTGCGAATACTGTCTCTAATGCGCCGAGTAGGAACACCGGGTCACCTGCAAAAGCGATTCTTCTCGTTGGGAGGCTCGGGACGGGCAAGTCCTCCCTTTTGGAAGACGTTACCGGATTAAGTGGCTATTCTCAGCAGAGCGCCGACTCTGGTAAGTATCTTCATTTAGAGGTCGTCACAGTCACGGTCCATTTTTTTCTGACACTCGGTTCAGTCACGCAGAATGTCGAAATTGCCAAGGCGGTCATCACAAACAAGGAGTACTTCATCATGGATACTCCTGGATTCAATCCAGGGAACGAGGAAGAGACCTACCGCGAGATCATCCGTGGTATCCAGGCCATCCGCCCTTTTGCCCGCATTGTTGGCCTGCTGTACCTCACGTGCGTTAACCAGCCCCGTTTCGACGGCTTCGACCGCAAACTGGCCCAGTTCATCCGCGCCTTGTGCGGCGATGAGTACATTCACGCTGTGACTTTCACAACGACGTTCTGGACCGTCGCAGGAGAGGAACAGCTCGCAGATTTTAATCGTCATTTCGAGTTCCTTCAGAGCAAGTGGAAGGAGGTGTTTGGTGCCCAGGGTCTGAACCTATATCAGCATGGACAAGAGTACAATGCCTCTGGACTGCCTACAGGCTCCGTCATCAACTGGTTTCCCCGCCGCAACCGCGACCAGATCGCACGACATGCCAAAGAGATGATTGCTCGTAACTATGATGGCCCAACCACCGCCAGTCCAAGAATTGTGGAAGAACTAGATGCTAATACGCCCATCAACATGACGGAGGCTGGAAGAATACTTGATCTGCACCCACCTCCCGCCGAGGAATCGTCATCTGCATCAAACGGGCAACCGGGAAGAGAATCATCAGAGCAATACAATTCAGCTTCTAGTGGTGATTCTGATCCTCGATCCAGTCGTGACAGGAGCCGACCGTCTGCAGAGGGAGTTAACGATACACAACAGGAACGAGAAAGACCCCAACCCCCGGCGCCAACTTGGGGCCAAACACTTTTGGACGTGATCGGCCGGCTCGCACGTAACGTTGAAATCAATGTCGATCTCGGCGGCGGTCCAATGCGAGGACAGAACTTCGCCATGGGTAGTGCTCATAGCGGCACACTAGGTCAGTCCATGCATGCTTTGAGAAAGAAGTTACTGTTGTTAATGACCTGCTAGATCCGCTTTCTTCTGTCGACGTGATGAGGTCTTTCGGTCTGGATTATAGCAGAGAAGGCAGATTAAGATATGCTGCCCGCCATGGTATTGGGGGAGAACCTTTCTCTGCGGCCTGGGGGGACGCAATTCGCAGAGATGTTCGCCGCCGTTATGGATAAGATGCGATGATGCCGTGACTTCTCAGTAGCAGGAGGGACGAGTGTAGGTATCGTTACAGATTGAATTCAAACCGTTTCGATATAAGTCGTATGCTGTGTTTGTCAGCCAGTTTCATACACGAAAGAACAGGGCATCAGAAGCAGCTGAGGATCCGTCAAACATCACAAACACATGAATTTTGTACAAGGAAATGATGGATAGAAAAACTAAAAAGCATGAAAGCTGTCAGGGAGCCTAAGCGATAGTCACTGTACATTCAATGCTTAGTTTGTTATCTTACTTGATTACCTAAATTTAATTGTTAAGTAGGATAGACAATTCATTTCTCCTGCCGCTGGTCTCGGAGAGAATGCGTGCTATAGGGTCTCCATTCATGCTAGCCAGAGCCCGATATGTTGAAAGCGCAGTGAGGTGATCCTATGGTGACTTATTCATACTACCGCTCTGTTAAAATCCAGTATGAAACTGTTTCCCAAAGTTATACTGCAGAACTCCTGGCGAAGTACTAGTGGGCAGCTTATGATGATGTCTCTGAGTTAGATATCTATAGACTTGTTAGGAATCCTAGCCCCATTTCCCACCATGAATTGAAATTGAAGAGTTTGGAACGTGGTAGATAATTAAGTTGCGATATTTGCGGCTGAGACTTTACTATAAAGCTGCTATCTCTAGAGGCAAGGCGCATATCCACCCAACTATGTAATCATTATAGTAGCTTATTGTATAACCAGTGCAACTGGACTATATGTAGTAGAGAAGAAGATGATTGATTCCACCCTCAGAGATAAGCAACTAAAGGAATGAACGGAGCAGCATAAGTGCAGTAATATGTGAGTATCTAATATACCTTAGATTTAAGAAAGGAAAGAATTGGTGACTATTAGAATACAAGTAAAGTGCCCATGCCATGGTTTCAATCACTGGGCCATAGAGCTGTCGTTCGTGATACTGGCGGCTATTGTTTGCTTGCAGTACAAAAACAAACACCTCCATACTGACAAAAGTGGTTGGTACTCTTGTTGTGCTAAAAAGGGCAACTCCCAATGGCTGGGATCTTGTCAGTATTTTCCTGGTCAGCTACCTATGTAGAACACCAAGATGTGGTACAGCGAAACCTCGCTGTAACGAGCCTTGATATAACGAGAACCTCAATGGTACGAGATTTTTTTCCTTGCCTGAATTAATTTCCAATAATAATAACAAGATCCCTCGTTACAAGGAGTCTCGTTAGTTCGGCCTTTGCCCCCCCATAGAGATCTTGTAATATCGAGGGGGTTTTATATGGGCGGATAATAAGAGTAGGCCATATTCAAGCTATACCTACCCTAAATAGGTTCTCTGAATCACGTGTATCTACTTGCTCATGTATTTACTAGTCCTTGTTATATTATAACGAGAAATCTAGCCTGTCCGAATTATCTCGCTATAAAGGGGGTTTACTGGTAATTAGAACAATTTATTATGGTATTACAGGTTCCAACCTGTTTTATTAAGCGCCTACAGGAGATCCCCCCGCCCGGGGTTGAAGCAGAGCACAGACAGATCCAGGCAACAGAGTCACATATATGGAGTACTACTACCGCTATTAGAGTACTGGATTGAAGCATAGATAACCGTTAGAAGACAAAACTGTAACCATTCATAAGGCCGAATTTCAGGTTTCCGCGGGATGCGCCAACAAGCTGCTGGCAAATGTATTGCCTTCACATAGCGACTACAGGTAATAAGCACTAAGCAGGCCAACGCAATTAATATAACTAGCTACTTAAGCGGGACCACGGTCTGATGCCTGCATGGGCGATACCACTCTACCGACCTTACACTCTAAGATGAGGGCTGTGACAGTTGGTCATTAGCTGCATTATGGATAAATCCACCGCAAAGGACAGTGGTACGTATTTGAGAGAGCACGCAGTAGGCAACCGGGGTGCGCTTAGCAGGGAGAGGCCACTGGTGGTGTAAGCAGAGGACCGCTGTTTCTTTGTTTCTCCAGCACAAGCAGATCGAGAAATGGCAGTTCAAAAGCCCAAAGCACAGAGAATGTCAGTATATCATCCAGCAACTCAATTGCCTGCGCCGCAATGTACAAGGATTAGGCACCAGGAGTTATGTTATGGACTATCGGCTATTGAGATGGGGACAGCATCGCCGAGTAGTGATTCTCTATTGTGGGCAACTGTCCTTAACCCTAGCTAAACAGTTGCCACCACTCAGTGATATTGACAGTAAAGATTTGGAACTGTCTTCTGTTCGATAAGACAGGGATGTCGTTGATAGTGATACAAGCCGTTCTCGGTAGCCAGTACGCCTAATCCCACTCCGCAGAGATCCAAGGAAGGCTCTAAATTACGGCGCAGTCAAGATGCATATCTAGCCAGTAAGTATCATTTCTCAGAAATAGGTAAACCGGCAGACCACTCGCTTGTGTCCTAGGCAGGATCTCAGGCTTACAGAAATCAGCTGGCCCGCTTCCTTGATATTAGCACCGTCTGGATCAAGCCATCGTTCTGGGTTGAACTGTGGGGGTCATGGAATTTCGGGTCGTCGTGGGTGGCTGTAGAGGCACTCCTGTACACTTCGGCTTGCAGGGTTTTTTCTTGGTCGGGGCAGAGCCTTCGCATGGAGATCCTTAACCTGGCGAGCTCCCAATGAACATCGTATCTGTGCCTGGGTGCACTGCTAAGGCAATCTTGATTTTAGTCGGGACATCCCGTCAGCAAGTCATCGTCCTTCCTTCGACCACTCCCTGGTCATCGATTTACCCAGCCACTTTCAACATTACGCAGGAGACGCTTGTGACATGGATGTTCTGTTTCGGCCGCGTCCCCTTTGAATGGTTCCCATGAAGTTGTCACTGCACCAGCGCAGCTATTATCTATAGCCTTGAGCCAGGGAAATTATCTACCGCGTAACTGGGCTCTCGCTCCCACAACTCTTAACTTTAGTTATCGCCCCAGCAGCAGAATGGTCTCCCTCGGAGCGATCCTGGCCTCCAACCAACGACTTGGCTCAGCCCTCCCTGCCGGCCTGGTGGCCGTCTTTGTTGGTGCAACGAGCGGCATCGGTGAGACAGCATTGAAGCAGTTTGCCAAACATGCCAACGCGCCGCGCATCTACTTCGTGGGCCGTACAGCCAGCTGGGCGAAACGCATCAAAACGGAACTCGAGACCATGAACCCGAAGGGCAGCTACTTCTTCCTGCAATGCGACGCCAGTCTGCTCAAGAGCGTTGACGAGGTTTGCCAGGAGATTAAGGCCAAAGAGACGGCGATCAGTCTGCTCTTTTTGAGTATCGGCAGTCTCATCACCGGGACAAGTGAGCGCCCCACAATCAAAGTGATTACAGATCAGTCCCTTACTTGGAGCTACGTGTAGGGACCGTGGAAAATTTGCATTACTTCGCTGCACTGACGTACTACTCCCGCATCCGCTTCGCCGTGAACCTCCTCCCGCTCATCCGTACCGCCCCTGCGCTGCGCCGGGTCGTGACCGTCTTCGCCGGCGGCAAGGAGGGCCCCATCATTACCGACGACTTTCCTGGTTTTAAGCTATCCGCCACCGCAGGACGCGGGCATTTTGCGTCCATGCTGACGCTCTCTTTTGAGGTACTGGCCCAAAGAGCACCAGAGGTCTCTTTCATACATGACTATCCCGGATTCGTCAAGACGGACCTCGCGCGAGGCTCTAAGGGCGTCGGGATGGCGGTCGTCAAGGGTTTGTTCAAGGTCATTGGTCCGTTTTTGTATATCCCCACCGAGGAGGTTGGTGAGCGGCAAACCTTCTTTGCTACCAGTATAAGATTCCCACCCGCCTCTGGCGATGCCAAGGGCGTGCCCTCTGAAGGAATCGGTATTGCCACAGGGACTGATGGAAGGAAGGGCAGTGGTGTGTACTCGGTGCATCTGAATGGGGAGACCAAGGTGCAAGAGGTGTTGTCTGCGTTGAGGGAGAGCGGGTTGAAGGATAAGATGTGGAAACATGCTGAGGAGGAGTTTATTCGCGTAACGGGGAGTGTAACGATATAGGACATACCTGTCCTGCTCATTGCTACAGTTGCATTGCGCAAGTATTGCTGCTGATAGGCTTAATGACCTTAAAACTATCTGTTCTGTGTATCTGCATGAACACATTCATTCTAGAGACTGCATTATCAAAGAAGATTACACCAGGGCAATAAAGCGGACTTGATATCAGGCCCTTATTTATAGGCGCTATCTATCCTCCCGCTGAGCAATCGGACTCAGTCTGTCAGCTCTGTCAGCTTACGAGCTCAGCAAGAGGGGATTTACATACCACCAGAGCTCTGCACCATACGGGGCTACTCGGTTTAAAGCGTTTTAGCGTAGGAGACTTGACCGGTCTTTTCACGGCGGCCCGCAACAGCTGTAGGACCGGCGACTCTGATCCCAACAATCTCCCCAAAAACTCCGCGTCAGACAGCTGCCCGGCTCCTGCGCAAACCGCCATCGGCCGCGAAGCTCCCTCACCGTCTTCCCGATGTCAAACAGCGCCTGTCTAGCCCAGCCAAAGTCATCTAGCTGCATCTTCATTTGCAGGATGCTCTCTTCTTCTCGGGCAAGCGCCTCTGCGGAGCCGCGTAGTCCGTCTCGTACCAAATCGACTTGATCCTCCAAGATCTGCACAGCGAGATGCATAAATTCTGGAGAAAAGGAACTATAGTCCGATGGGAAGAATACAATCCCGCTCGTTGAGTGGGATTTGCAATGCCTTGTACTCTGCTTCATTTTCATTAATAGACATCGCTACATTATACATGATGTGGATATTGCCACTCGCGATCTTGGCTTAGGATAAAAACAGCCCCAGGTAAGGTTGTCTGGATTTAGGTTCGCTGGGAGCTTTTTCTCAGAGTTAGGCAAATATGATGCTGTTGAAGCAGACAGAGTATAGATCGACTCTCTGACACTACTCTGTGTTCTCTGAAGAACTGGATATCTGGAGGGTGACAGAGATGGCTTAAATTCACCACATCCTTTGACATAAAAAGGTGTAGATAGTTTAGTCATTTAGGCACAATCTGGCCTTCATCTTTGTCATTTGACTAGTAGCATTTACTATAACTCTAAAGTATCAGATAGGGCACCTTAGGCAAATGCAGCGAGTCAGGTGATCCAGACAATTCTGAACATCTCGTTGCTACAAATCCACCTCTAACAAACTTTACAAAACACATATCGTATTGAAGAGGCAAAATCATCGATCCCGCGGCAACCAAGGATAGGGCTTGCAATTTAGGGGATCAACTAGGTCGCTTCGTTTAGAGTTCCAATTCTGTACATAAGATGTACAGGCTCGTCTCTGCAAGGACACCGTCACACCAGGCATACCACCTCTGCCACGTCCAGCTGTTGAGCCATCCGCTGCCGCCGCGTACCTTGTTGCCCAGCACGCCTTTGCTGCGCAAGTTAGTGAGTCGGGAACTTTGATCTTGCTCGAGTAACCCACAATATCACTTCAAACGGCAAAAGCATCATGCCGGGACTCTGGCCTGGTGGGATTCCCTCCCACATACGACCACACCATACGGCGGACCTAAACTTTGACGAGATCAAGGAAGAGGTCAAAGGGTGGCTGCTCTTTGTGAAGGTAGGATCAAATTGCCTTGTCTAGATTGGATATTAACAGTAGCTCAGGAGAGCTGGGTTTCTCGCGCCCATGCTGGGTTAGCCGAAAGTGAGGATGAGGATTATGAACTTCGCCAGCGACGAGCATTGGTCGACCGATGGGCAGCTGCAACACAGGAGTTCCGCGATGTATGAGTTTTTCATATCCCTGACCGAAAACGACTCCTTTTAATTCTGTTTCAGTCCTTCCAGGAGCGTCCCCCAATCGGCCTGCCTGGCACAGAGACAAAGAACGTCCCAAGTGATCCGGATGAAGGTCTTCGGTATCCTCCGGAAGCATTGGAGCGAATGTTTAATCCTAGCCAGCCTGGCCATAATGGAGGTGTTATCTCTCTTGCACCGGTGGATGCCGCTCATCCCGTTAACCAGACGCGATGGGTGAAGTTTCTGATCCTGTTGTACCGTTACGACTTTGGGTCAGGCCACTGTCTCGATAATGATTATACGTTCTCCGTCGCATCTCTCAACCCAGCTACTACAACGACTGCATCATTCGATGACTTCCTGCCCTGGCTATACCTCGAATCTGCCTTGTTTAGTGGTGTCTATCTCACCCGTGGTGGGACAGTACTCTATCTCGGTCAACTTCATAATCATCTATTAGTTGATGAAGAAGGGCTGAGAACAGGTCGCCTGGCTATTGTTGACTATGACATCAACGGCACTGTCAAGGATTTAGTTCTTCGGCGCCCCTTCAACATGCACCAGCCGTATCAGAACCTCTTTCATAATGGTCAATCGATATCCGACGTGTCCCAGGGTCTTGGAGGTGGAAATTTCCATAATCAACCGTGAGTGCGCTTCCTCCTCTTGATAGAAATATGTCTAACTCTTCTAGGATGAATATGGACCTACCGATTCTGGATATACTAGAGCATGCAAAAGCTGCTAACCAGCTTCTCGATACTATGAGTCTCTGTAACCTCGAGGACTGGAGGGAAGATGTTGAGGTCTATGCACCAGGGTATCTTGAGCTTGAAGCTGCAGGTAGAGGTCTATCTTATGACCTTCGAAACCTGGTTTCACCGGAAGAAGTTACGATGAGAACAAAACCAGCGATGCAGAGGCTTTTGTCCAGTCAGGAATTACCTACGGACCGAAATGTACTATTTCCTGTATAGGGATGCAACGAATAGTGTAGTTTCTTATGAATGTGAGAACATTGACTGATCCCTGGTAGTAGAAGCCTGCAGCATAGATCATGGCAGTGACTCGCACCATATATATACTTAATTCTTCCCCAAATGTTTCTGCTCCTTCCCATGTGCATTTCCTCCATCCGGTACTGTGGCGCGCACGGAAAATATTCATACAATTAGGGGCCGGATATATAATAACATGTATAGGGTTCTATCATTTCTATGACCTGGCTAACTGAGCAAAAAGCGACACTACTTCAGACTGTTCCGTATCAGAGTCAACACCTTCCAATCTCCTACTATGGAATTTCCGTCCTCCTTTGAGCTTTAGATGCATATATGAGAACCTCTACACTTCAAAAATGCCCAATAGCTCTCATCCTGGTTTCGAATGTTGAACGCCAAGAAATCGACCGGATCTTACCAGCCAAGCGGCAGCAACGCGAAACAAAAGCGTGCTATCCGTGTCGCCAGCGCAAAGTAAAATGCGACAATGGTCATCCTGAGATCTGTCTATGATGTTGAGAGACCCTCTCCGCGGAAGCGGGCCACGATAAGTCCTCGAAACGGCGAGAATGGCGCCTCTTACCACGCATTCACATCTGGCTTGACGATCGCAAACGATCAGCCTCAAACCTGGAATTCTGTATTTCCTCTGCGTACCTATTCCTTAAGTCGTACGAGCTTATTACAACTTGAGTTGTCACCAGAGGTTCTACTTTGCGATGGAGGGAATGTCCAGAATGGCTGGCTGCTGAAACCATAGTAGTATTAATTTGTCGTTGTTATTGCTCTAGAAGTGTTGTTCCGACATGCCAAGGGGTTAGGGCTCGAGTAGTATGTACTTGTCAGACTCAAACAATGATCTATATATCAAATAATGTTTTTAATAGTTCGGCTGGTGAGTCCTATACTATTTCTTGGCATAGGGTCGTGCTGATGCTGGAGCAGAGTCACCGTTGTGCCCATTAAATGCCAAGTCTCAGGCCACAAGAGGTTATTAAGGACTAATCCCTGGAACAATGTATAAATAACTCAAAACCGCCCATCATGGCGTTTCCGTGATAAGGGGTCCTATCACCTCAAAGTGCTGTGATATCAGGCGCTTAAAGAGAAATGCAAACTCATCTTGCCATATAACGACTGTACATGCATGGCGTACTTGCCATCTCGGCAGACGGTCTTCCCAAAGACAACTAATAACCGTAGTAAAGGCTCCAACAATAGGTTGCATTGAATATCCTGAAAGCAGATGCTTCTGGGAAGAACAAGAGCTTGCTATAAATAGCACAATTACCATAGGGCTTTTGTAGGATTTCTTCTTAACATTCTGGCCCTGATCAAAATCCTTTCGGTGTTCACAATGAGATGCTTAATCTAGGTACTATATAACTGGTACATAAAAATATAATCATCGCTGTTCCTTGTTCTCCACCTCTATATAGAGAAGAGAGGCCCACAATGGGAGCGTCCCGGAAACGATATACGTTAGCTAGAGTACAGGTAGATGAGAAAGGTTCGGCAGCGTCTCTGCCATAAATACAGTCTCTGCTACCACTTCTTAAGCCGTGAATTTGCTTTGCATATTCCGTACGGTACTATCTAACCCTTGATTAGGTATCATTTCAGCCAGTATATAACCCATTCGCATCCCTTCTCATCATCCACATCGGGTACGGATCCTCCATATCAGTCCACAAGAAAAAAAGCGAAAAAACAGAGACCTTCATCGTCCCATCAAAGCCAGTGGCCTCCCGTTCCCATTCATCAATCTCCGGCCAAGGCTCAACGGCCTTCACCCACCACTTTCTCAAATACTCCCCCGCGCCCTCTCTGATGAGTTTCGTATCAGCGTTTTCTAAGGCCTGACACACCTCCTCGTCGACGACAAGACACACGTGACGCTGCGTAGAGTAGCCCCAGTTATAGTTCTCTCTTCCTCTACCGCTGGCGTAGTCGTCGATCCAGGATTCGAAGTGGGATCGCACGCCGTGGAGCGAGATGCCATTGAGTTGGGTGCGGTCTTCGATGATGATGGGGCGGTGTTTGGCGCAGATCAGCTGGTAGCCATTTTTGAGTTCTTCGGGGGGTCCGGCATAGGAGTCTTTAGACGTTGCATATTCGTGGAGGATTTCCCGTTTTATGAGGGAGTTTGTTAGTTCGATGATTCGGGGAAATTGGCGGTAGGATTGAGGGCTGTATGTGGTGCGGTAAATCACGAAACCCCAGGATGGTGCTTTAGGGAGTCGAAGCCAATCTATAAGATGCTGGGTAGGAGTGGGGATCATATTCTTTGTAATTAAATATAGGAGAGATAGGAACCGGAGGAAAGAAACTCCCTAGACCAGGCAATTAATGAAGCCTAGGATAGGAGGGAGGGTTTGGGTTGGAAATCGATTTGTCTAGTAACTGAAAATTACGATACGCTCCTCCACGCCTCAAAATCTCTTAGACCTTGATCCAAAATGAGCACAAAGTAGCCAATGGCACAGGCACAGGTTTTTGAGCACATATTATCTCCTGATTATCTGATCTTTCTGATGCTACATCATGATGAGTCCAAGATTCCCCGCGGCGTATTGGACATCTTAAAGCTTTATTCATTGATTAGAATTACAAGGGGAAACACTCTTATTTTTGTGTCTGAAGCCTGCTGCACTGAAAATAGCGAAGTACATATGTTTTACAATCCATCGCGGCTGTGGTGGTCCTCGATAGGGGGTTTGGGACCAAGGCCGGACCAGACCCGGACCAGCACAGCATCGCCCCCAGGAGATGACTGGGGTCGTCAACGCTGATATAGGATCGGCAAAGTGTATAATCTCTCAAAGCTAGTCTACCAACATTGTGTACCTACTGCCTCATGCGTGGCGCGGGTACTAAGACAGGCATATATTGCAGGAGAGACACATGGGCGAAAACCCGACATTGCCCCCTGCTCTTGTGGTCTCCTCTCAGAACTTTGTCGTCTGTGTTTATCTCATTGGGACAAATTACACTTGAAAACTCACTGCCTAATGCTCTTGGAGACATTGGTAATGGAAGAGATGCTCAGAGAGTGGCTGATGCTAGGCCACAGACGGCTTGTCGCTGGACTGGTTATTGCAGCAATGCTGCTCGAAGTACCCGGTTTCGTTGCGATGCTATACTGGGAGGTCGGCGTGTATGTGCCTCCGACAGCGACGGGCACGCCGGCGCTGAACATGGGATCGTTGGTGACAGTTAGATAGGACAAGGCCCATGCGCTGCCAGTGCCACTGAAGGAGATGCCGTCAGTTGCGATGGCTATGGTTGGGATCGCCGTACAACCTGACGAGCTTGAGGTTGTGGTTATTGTTGTCATCGTCGTCGTCGTCGTCGTCGTCGTCGTCGTCAAGGAGGTTGTTGAGGTGGTACTCGTGGACTCAGGCTCCTGCGGTTAGCTGTCATCCTCACTACCACCATCACTACCATCGCCCTCCTCGTCGTCGTTGTTATTGTCCAGGCCCGGTGGCTGAGGAGTGTCCAGCTTGGGCCACAGGGAGCTGTTGCTAATACTAATGCTAGGGCTATCGATGCAAAGTCTTGTTAGTAAAATCTTCAACTGGGTAGTCTGAGCTCAAAAACATACATCTTCAGGGGCCAGTCATATAGGAACCAGCAGTTGGACGAACTGCTGCCCAGGCTGCTTTCATCATCCAAGTTAGACCGCGGGGGAGGTCCTTTGATGGGCAGGGGGATGATAATGCCAGAGATATTTTACATAGTGCCATCATCATCATCCATGTATTTGAAGGGCGGTAAGATGATGGCAGAGTAATTAAACTGAATGGTCACACTGGTGCTGGTAGGTGCGTTCAAGATGGATGGAGTTCCAGAGATGGTGATAGGATCCACTATAAGGGTTGGTGTTTCTGCCGCTGGTGGCATGATGGTCTTCGGGAAGCCTTCAATCAGGGAGGTGATGACAGGCGCCTGCATAGGAGGAAGTGTCACTGGCGGCAGGACAATGACACAGGGGAACCAACACGAGGCACTCAGAGTACTCAATCCCCACCACCAGTTAGCCAACATGATGGTCTGGCTGGGCTGAGGTGTTTCACTACCAGTTGCGCCGTCTGTGAGCAACAGCCATGCATTTATTATTGACCAGTACAGATGGCCTGTAGCGTCAGTGGGTTCGGCCGCCAGCGCTGGGAAGTAGTTAGTTCCGTACGGACTGACCATCTCGGTTGCGCCGATTGTAATGAGATTGTAGAGCCAAATATCACTGCTGAGGTTAGTGGATACCAATCATTACTAGCAGTTTTGTGCATCCACACAAGCCTCCGCCGGATCATGGTCCTGATACCAGCTGTACAGCCCTGCGCCAGCAATCTGCACGTTGGAGGAGGAGACCATCCGAAGAGCCCACAAGACTGCACAGCTGTTCTCATCATTTGAGTTACAGTTGGTGAAGTTGGGGTCTGCGTTAATGGCGAGTTGTGCGAAAACCCTGAAGCGGGTGACGCAGGAGCTGGGCAGGAACAATCCGGCCATCATCTATGACAATGTCAATGTCGATGCAGTCATTCCAAAGGTATTTTGCCTCTGTTCCTAAGCATTATGAGCTACTAACATTGCAGATCAGGATCCTCTCCTTCCTCTGCTCGGGCCAGATCTGCATGATGGTCAAGCGGCTGTACGTCCACGAGGAGATCTACGACAAGTTTGGGGAGAAACTCATGGCCTTTATAGAGTTGCTCAAAGTCAGCAACAGCACTGAGGCCGACGTCTTTTTCGGCCCTGTGCAGATCAGCATGTAGTACAACAAGGACAAGAATCTCTTCAAGAGCTTGTCCAAGGAAGGTCTCACACCCACCCTCTGTGGAAACATCCAGGACTCAGCAGGCTACTTCATCCACCCAACCATCATCAATAACCCTCCAGAGTCATCCCGGGTAGTGCAGGAAGAGCGGTTCACGCCGATCCTCCCGATGCTCAGGTGATCGGATAAGGACAATGTCATTGCGCGAGCGAACGACACCGAGATGGGGCTGGGGCATCAGTATAGAGCAGTGATATAACTCAAGCGCGTCGGATAGCCGATCAGCTCGAGTCGGGGAGCGTGTGGATCAACTCTCAGCATTCCATCAGATTAAGGTAGTATTATGCACTTCAAGCTTGATTCATGCCCTGGCTAGAATACGCCTATAGTATGTATACAGATAGTGTTAGATAGAGTGCTCGTGAAGGTAAAGATGGCCAAGAGTAACATAGGAGAATGAAACCAGTAGGAAATAAGCAGAGAAAACACAAATAGTGCGCGCCAAATCTGGCGCGGCATTTTGATTAGCTCGTCCATCTACATAATGCGGCGGTGAGCACAGATAACTAAAGTAGTAAGTATGAAGTTACGTCCTTAGCAATCAGCTAACCACTTAATAAAATCTATTCTATTACTCTTCATAGTAATCTGAAGTCTATTAGGTGAAGAGGATGGTGCAGCCTATGCCATAATAATAGCAGGTTCCTAACCATCAGGTCTAGCTATGATAAAGAGCACTTTCCGAAGTAAGTTACTTAAGAGACTCATCACACTTATCCATCCAAAGCTACTGTCTTTGAAGGTGGCTTATTGCAAGCATTAAACTTGCAAATCCACTTCCTCTTCCGGCTCACGCAGTTTCGACGAGGTTCTTCAATAGAATAAGCGTCAAAAAAATGCTGTTGTAGGAGCAAGATACTGTTGTAAGATCTATTCTCACAGCAGGGATGAGGGCATTGAATAGCCTTCTCTTTTACCCTGCCAGCTAAATGTTTATTATTGATGTGGTTTATCAGTGTCAATTTCTCCTGCCATTATTGGAATCATTCCACTGGAGATTTAGTGTGGTCACCTAAGTAGAAAGGGCAGAATCCAGGCGCAACTAATATAAAGCAGAATCTCAATAGCCCACACTGAGGTTGTAGATTGTCCAAATGGAATCGGCAGTGCTCAGTCCAAGCATCCTCTGTATTGAACTATTTAGCGCATAAGTAGCACCATTCAAGAAAAGATTGCTTTACTTATTAATGCACTCTCTTGCCATTCACATAGAGCTACTAATACAGTGCGGCATTCAGGGATTTCCTTCTGCACTATAGAATGTGTTTTGAACAGCTTGCTAAATCAATACTGTGAAAATTAGCTACTGAGATAGGTGTAGGATATCTGAACAAACCTAGACATTTCTCTGGAGCATACTGGACATCTCCTATTAATTAGCTATTCACCAGGATAATATGCCACTCTCTCTTTGGAGACGCAGATATTCACTATATCCTATAGGCACTGTCTTCTAATCTTACTACCAATCAAGGCTTTGGTGAAGAGGTTATCGCGTAAACAAGCTCTCTCAGGCATATACTTGTGGCAGATATTAAAGAGGCACATCAGATCTTACTCACCAAACTCATTCCCTGTAATATATTCATTATAAGAAGATCTCCACCAGTTATCAATGAACTCAGCCTTCTTGGCACAGCACTTCTTAGCTACTTTTATATAGAGCTTTTCCCTCTCAAGTGCTAATTCTTTATGCTCAGCAGGCTTTCCTCCAATTTGTTAAGTAATCTTGTTAATCCTATGGTAGATCTTTTTCATTTCATCATCATTGTTAACCTGCGCAGTGGCAGCAGCATCAAGATATTACAGAACATTAGTGTTGTGATGATGAGCCATACTTTCTTCTATTTCCAGACATTTATAGTCGGGCTTTAGGTTCCAGAAGCTGGCCTGGACGTTAACATACTTGAATTTGGATTAATACTTAAGGAAGGTGTCAGGGTTCTAATAATCTAGTGCTTAGCTTCTCGCCGCTTGGGAAGCATTTGCTATGAGCCTATTAGTGTGTGCTAGAAGTTCATATAATAGAGGAAATAACCCATAGTTAATTGCATTTGTAACGCCCCCTCTAATCCTGTGGATTCTTAACTAGTGTCAGAAGCACACCCATTGAGTAAGTGATGTAAAATGGTGCCGTATTAAAGAAAATGTCAATGCATGGGTGGGGTGTGGTCCATTAGTAGTCACCATGCGAAGCACTAGCAGGGTCTGTATATGTGCTTCCCATTCAAGGGTCCATGACTCTCTTCCTTTCGGTGGTCTTTTATCTAATAACTTATCAGCTGTGCGGATGCCCCTAAATGCCTTGTCTGCAATTCCCATAACCATAACATAAAATACAAAATTTCTTCTAAGTATTTCTTGCTCTGGTATCCAGTTTTTAGGACTATATTACCACAATCAGCTGTGTAGCATTAGAGACAGAGAAGATAATCTTATATGACAGCCTCATCATCATAGCAATGGCCTTTGAGGAACTCTGGGCCTATAGTGACCCAGTACTTCACTTCCTTATTTTTCAAATCCCATTGTAAATTAAAGGAAAGATGCTATATACTAATTAGTATAGGACTCTCAGATAAGTAGGGTGATGGACAAACTCTATAGTAGAGACACTCATTAGTATCTCTATAAGAACTTAATCCAACAATTACACCTGCTCTCACAGCGGAACCGGAGAACAACAAGAGCAAGAATACATCTTAAAATCTGGCATGCTCATGTATGTAATCATGGTCATCGTCTTTAAATAAATATCAAAGAAGTATATCAAGATCCCTGCTAGTCACCAGAAACTTCTCTTGATGTTTAGTCACAAGTCCATACTTCTGAGTAAGTTCATTCCGGATATACTATGTAAGGAATTAGCAGTATACTGTAGCATATTTACCTAGTGTTTCTTACATTATAAAGATCATTCTTCACTGTATCTGGCAGCTTTCTGCAGGTCTTTTGCTGCCATTCAGCAATAAAGCAAGAGAGGTTAGAACAGACAGTCTACTAAGTAGGCAAGTCTCCTTTGCGCAAAGTAATAAATGCCTCTGAATACAGCTTCAAGATTTGAACAGGGGGATCAGGCTGTTCCTTCATGAAATATCAATCACCTGGTTCATTTTGAGAAAGCATCCATCTATATGCCGTCAGCAACTAAGCGCAACATTAAGTTAATAAATAAACATTTATTTGTACACTTTCTAAAACGCCACTGAATCGCCATATTTTTTATCAGTAGCCAGAGCCCTTTTCTTATGACTGATTTCATTTAGTTTACTTTTTTGTTCTTCCTGGTACTCTGTTATGAACCCTCTTAATTCAGTAAACTTGTGGAGCTCCTCCGCTTTTCTTCAGATCAAAATCCTTTGAAAACAAGTCACGTGACATTATTGAAGGATAGAAGAAAAAGCTGAGAGAAAATAGATCACAGAAAAAAACTGCTTGTAGTTAGGAAAGGAGACAATGGTTAAGCAGAGAGGAAGCCCTCATATTTAAGCTAGCGATAGAGGGGTTCTAGTCATTATAGAATCACTCTGTCACCCACCGAGCACCCATGATCACCCATGCTGTTGGATAGCATCACTCAGCTCACCTTCACTCACCCACACTCACCCACACTCACCCTATGGTTTAGCGTCTCTCACCCGTAAAGCAGCAGGCCTTCAAGGGCGCATATAACTTCCGACCACGTTGATAATACTGGCTTAAGTACGGCTGAGCGGACGGGAAGCCCTGTTTTCCACACCCTGTGGTCGTATGTGCTAGAACCATGGGATCCGCCAGTGAAAAGTGTCAGGCATGTATCATGTGTTGAGGTTTGAAGGCAATAATGGCCTAGCCATAGAAACGTATCGTAGATGCAGTGCAGAGTTGGAATGTAGGTCTGATTATGAGCGTAAGGAGTTAAGAAGAGCTCAGAGGCATGACCAAGATGAAGGATACTCCCAGCGGAAACATGCTGAATCCCTGGCGTGGCGTCTGGTGTCAATAATATATATCTGTCAGATGCAACAAAGGAGTTTCTGATTTCGTGCCTAAGGCGTTCCGCGGCAGGGAAATTTTTCAGCAAGACATTCATTCTTTCAAATGTTCACCCCTAAACAGCTTCATTATGCTCCTAGGAATGGGTGGTATCCCGAGGTATGATCATAAAGAAAGGCACAGGAAAAATGAAGTTGAATTGTGAGATGAATACAACGAGCAGACGCGAATGTGGTATCTTCTTAACTGATCGATTTCTGACAGTATATGCTGAGGGCCAAATATTCAGGTCTTAAAAAAGCAACCAAAGTCCAGAAGCGAGACCCATGTAAACAAAGGAAAGAGGTATATATAAAGGAAAGAGGGTGCGGACGTTGTCCTGCAGACGGTCTGGTGCTGGACGGCCCTGAAGCCTGCCAGGAGGTTGTATCAACTTCGTGCTGCCGAGTTGCCCCGGCGGCCTATGTACTGCATACTGAACTGTCTTCTATCTCAGTGTTCATCGGGGCTTGGGGAGTTGCCGTCGATATCTTGAAGCTGCGTGGGTTCTGTGACCGATAATATGTGCAGATCTGGCTCTGCTTCCAAGGCATATTGCTGGGCTTGCAATGTTGGATGGCATCATGCTCTCTCCTTGACACCATCATTCTCTATGCGCAGTCAACGGATGTGATCTAGACTCGCGCTCGCGGCCGAATGGCCGACATCATCCGGTGGAATCCCGAGGCGGGGGTTATATGTGATGGAGGTTGTAGGTAATCGAGCACAGGTGCCGAGTCGATCTCGGACTATTATTCTTGCCTTTATAGCGCATATGGGTTGCATACGATGGCTGCGCAATATTTTGCTGACGATGAGTACGGTGGGGTGGAACGTTGGATGTGGATGTGGATGTGGTTGTTATCGTCCTGCAGATTACGGGGTAGGCCATCGGTATTAAGGAGTGGTGCCGATACGAGTACGGGAAATGACGTCGCCGACCGTTGAGGGTGGTCGATAGGTATTCGACGCGGCTTTGAAACGATCTTGGAGTGTTGTTTCCGAATGCGTTTGGATCAAATCAGTTGATATAGACCATCACCGCAAACGACATCAGGCAGAAGCACAGCGGAATGTAGACCTTGCGATCCACATCCATATCCGGGCTAGTGAGCGAAGAGACCGAGGAAGAGGGGAGGGAGCGGCTTGGGTTTCTGCGTGTGGACGATCTTGTAGATTTGTGGGCCATTTCTCAGAATTGCAAAGTATGGACAAAGTATCTGAAGTTTGAAGTTATCTGAAGACGAAGAAGAAGAAAGAAGAAAAGGAGGGGTCATGGTGATGATGGAGATGGGTTCAACGTGGCGGTGATGATCAACCCAACAACATTGCGGAGTGCATGCTCCGTCGCCAAAACACTCATTTCCCAACAAATCAGACTGGAATGTTTGGCCTTGTGATCGATCAGCTGACTAAGAATGTGCATTACTAAGTCAACGAAGGCAAGTGACTGGCTTGTTTGTTCTTGTTTGTTGATCCAACAGGATTGGCGGGTAGAGTGTGGCTGCGACCAGGCCCACCAGCCACAGAAGTCATGTGAGAGCAAGCGGTACAAATTTGTACTTCTCTTCGAGGCTAGTGGTTCGATTCCGTCTTAGGAGCCCTTCTTTTCTCCGCTCTCTCAAAAGTCCTCATTTTGATGTCAAGTAGTCCTATTTTGACTCGTTTGTCTTGGCCGCCGTTTGTAAGTTGACTTGTGTCTGGGCTGCTCTTGCCAATGATTGCAGGAGCATTCTGACTGGTCCTCTGTGTTCGGGTGAGAGTGCCACGGTGATAGACCCCTGCTGATGTTTCAGACTTGAGCTACATGTATCTACCCAGATGAGAAGCGACCAGTATATTCATCCAGTAAAACGGGTTGATCCCAGATTAAAATTCCCCTTTATTCTATCTGCCCCAGCCTCACAATGACAGCATACAACATAGTACCACCTTTCATTTCCTGGGGGCTGGTGATGGTTTCACTTTGCAATTTCCCGCATCATGATTATTATTATTACTGCTGTCTTGTTGTTTACGATCATCTCATCATTGAAACATCCTGACGTCCTGGAATGTATTAGCCAAGCAAGCTCTTATCTCGATAGCAGATAGTGGAGAGGGAAGTAGTATTATTGCGCCCAAATGACCTAAACGGATCATATTCGAGGCATGGAAAATTGTGCTCAGTCTCTCCACATGGCACCCACTTCCTGATTATTTCATGGCTCGGGACTGGCGAATTCGAACATTTGGTGTTCTCGGATTGCGCACTCCCTTCGATCATGATGATGATGAGATCAACAGATCGTCTGTCGATTCCTTCTCCATGTGTTAATCAGACGACGCTGAATACTCAAACATTTTATGATCCAGCTTGGAATATTATCATCTGTGGCAACTGAATCATAACAATAAAAATCTTATTTTGGTCGGACCGACTAAAATTATCTCTGCCAGAGACATACTAAATAAGGGTTACTATCTACGGAGTACCCAATACTACTCTGCACTGTACCTGCGAGTCACTTGACAGGACAATATTTATTGTTTTTAGTAGATACTACTAGTTAGACACTACGCTGTAGACAGACTAGACTAGGAGATTTTTACTTTTTCGTCACCAACACAAGTTCGTGTCGTTGCAACCGAGGACCTGAACCAACCCACACCCGGACTGGGAAAATCATCTTAGCGTGCTGGTGCCTGTCTGCGGTCTGAGACATCGCATCGCGGCTCAAGCAATACCGAATAGGTAGCTCGGTACCACACACCGCTCGCTTACAGTTGCATCCTAGTGAACTCGATTCAGCGGTTGCCCCGGTCGGTCAGTCCGTCAGACAGAGTGAGACACACTCAAGTTCTTACTTTTTTTAATTTTCTTCCGGCCGAATTTGGGGACATTCACTCACTCCAGTCACAAATCTTACCGCTCATGAAAAAGAAGGACCACGGCTGGGGTCATCTCACGCCTATTATCATGGGCTGATATTGTGCAATATGGGTCCTTCTCCAGTTTTTGATCCACCGGATCTGCTTGTCGGCTGGCCCCTCCACCGTCCGATCAATCACCGTCTCTGACCACTTTTGTCCATGATGCAAAGCTGACCTCTGAGCACTCAGTTCCTGCCTGAGACCCTTCCAGTCTGAGACGGCGCGCTGGGTCATCAACCAGAGGACGATGCTAAGATCCTGAGCTCCCAATCAGAGGCGATTCTCGGCTCGGTGGCAGGACAAAACTCGACTAATAATACCATGGCTCCGTTGCAACCACGCTACTATCTATAGTCTTGGCCGGATGACTCTGAGTTTCGATCAATCCACGGCGCACATGCTCAGCCTTCCCAAGTAAACTAGCAGTTAGCTCAGGGCTTCCTCCCCTTTAATCGACAGGAAGCGGCTACTATTTACTGTTGTCGATTCCCCATCCTTCTGGCAACATAATCATCTCATACCTCAATTCTCTGTAAAAAGAGCTTCCTGTCGTTATCTGGAGTCTCATATATATTGACTTACAGTCGTTACTTTTAAAAGTCTTAAACACATCATCATCTGGCACACACAGTTCTCTTCACACAGCGCTCATTTACCCTGCATAACGCAGACATGTATTTCAAGTACGCAGCAGCAGCCCTGACTGCAGTGCTCCCTCTTTGCTCTGCACAGACCTGGTCAAAGTGCAATCCCCTTGAGAGTGAGTCTTCTTATTCCTGCATATGATTTAAGGTAGCTTAACTAACGATTGCGTTGCAGAGACCTGTCCGTCCAACAAGGGCCTTGCCGCATCCAGTTATACTGCCGACTTCACCTCAAAGTCAGCTTTGGACCAATGGGAAGTCACTGCAGGCAATGTTCCTGTTGGCCCACAGGGCGCTGAGTTCACTGTCGGTAAGAAGGGCGATTCCCCCACCATCGACACCAGCTTCTACTTCTTTTACGGAAAGGCCGAAGTGGTGATGAAGGCCGCTCCTGGAACCGGCATTGTGAGCAGCATCGTTCTGGAGTCGGATGACCTGGATGAGATCGACTGGGTAAGCCTGATTGTTCACCTGATGTTCTCCTTTTCACCAGACTAACAAAGCGCAGGAAGTATTGGGCGGTGATACCACTCAGGTTCAGACAAACTACTTTGGTAAAGGTGATACCACAACCTATGACCGAGGCACTTTCGTGTCCGTTGCCACTCCTCAGCAAACTTTCTATACCTACACTATCAACTGGACTAAGGATGCGATTACCTGGTCGATTAACGGCGCGGTCGTGCGTACTCTTGCGTACAACGATGCTAAGGGTGGCACTCGGTTCCCCCAGACTCCTATGCGCTTGAGACTAGGCACCTGGGCAGGCGGCGACCCCGGCAACGCCAAGGGTACCATCCAATGGGCCGGTGGCGAGACCGACTACAGCAAGGGTCCGTACACCATGTACGTCAAGTCGGTTCACATTGAGAACGCCAACCCCGCCGAGTCCTACACCTACTCGGACAACAGTGGCTCTTGGCAGAGCATCAAGTTCGATGGGGCCGTCGATACCTCTCCTAGCCCTTCGGTGACCTCGACGACCAGCACTGCCAGGTCTACCTCGAGCCATAGCACTTCCACCACCACTCTGGCCACTTCCACCAAGCCGGCTACCCAGTCCACCTCGACCCCTACTGGAACCAGCTCGAGCTCTAACTCGAGCTCGGGCTCGTCTACTGGCTCGGGACCCACCACCACCGGCTCTACCACTGGCGGCAGCGGTAGCGGCAGCAGCAGCAGCGGCAACAGCGGCAAGAGCGGCAACAGCTCTGGTTCTGGCTCCTCCTCTAGCGCTGGAGCCTCTGCCACTGCGGGTCTCTCCCAGGGCGCCGCCGGCTCCATTAAGGGTTCGTACACAGCCTGCGCCCTGGTGTTCGGCGCGGTCGCTGCCGTGTTGGCATTCTAACGGAACGACTTTTTGGTTTAATGCACGATACACATAATGAGCTGGAGACGTCGCAACTAGAGATTTTGGAATCGGGGGATTTCGCCGTGGGTCTTGTATTTGATTTCATTTCATGCCCATACCTATTCCTTATACCCCGTACATACAACATGCTACATATTAATGAAACTACGCTATCTTTCTGTGGATTTGTTTGTTCTTTGGCCTGGGCACCTCCGTAGGTATTCTTAATCAAAATATAATTATCGAACGTCAATCATAACAGTAATGGATGTAGGCGCAGCTTGTCTACTATCTTGCAAAACGCAAACCCTGGCATTTCGTATACTCGTCGTGAACGTTAAGTGGCTGGTGCTGATGCTATGCTATGCTATGCTTATACCATATTCCCTTTCTTCCTCTGCAGGTTCTGCAGATCGATATACAAACTCCGAATCAGATCAGCTACAGGCCGATGGTGATTCGTCGCCTGCCGAAGAGAGTCGGACAGATGTGTGTCCGCACGTATATCGGACGTCGAGGTCTCATCCTCCCCAGTATGCACTGAAGATGTCCTGCCACTAAACGGCACGATCGTCTCGATGAACGCCCAGAGACCCTTGGCGTTGCTATCACTAGCCCGCTTCCCGGCGGCTGTCTCGAAGCCAGCAAAGGGGGGAGGCGCGCGCATCTTCCTCTGCACGATCTCCTGAATAGACTCGAGATGGTCGTCCAGCGTGGCAAAGTCCCCGCACAGCGCCTCGGCTTTGGACTGCATGCGTGCCGTCAGCTGGTCGATGTACGCTTCCCGCCGGGCTAGTTGGGTCAAGAGTCTGGCGTCCTGTGCGACGGAGCGGCCTCGGCCTCGGCCTGTGCCGGTGCTGTCGTCGGTGGCTGCGGTTGCGAGGAGGCTGTCCATCGCGGAGTGGATGTCTGCTTTCAGGGAGGCGAACTTGCCCGTCGCTGTGCGGGCGGCTTGGGTGCAGCCGGCGAATTCGAGGTCGAGTTCGTGTTTGGTGGCCGGGTAGGCCTTTTTGAGATTCGTGTGGAGATCGCGGAGGAGGGACTCGGTTTGTTGCATAGTGGGGTGTAAGATGGACATTTGGGTGATGGTCGTGTTGAAGAGGGTTTCGAGGCGGGATTGGGAGGTTAGGATGGAGTTGGGGTTGGACTGCATTTGGGGGCTTGTGGATGGTGGTTGCGGGTAAGGTGGAATGCAGCTTGCTGGGTAGAGGGCTGATACTGTGTCTATGCTGCAGAGGGTTTGATATTGATGGACGAGCTCAGGTAGAATGAGGAGGTGGGAGATTGCCGTCATGAGGAGGAAGTTGATCAACGGTCTGACGTATCTTTCTATGTGCGCAGAGCTGGATGTTGTTCCAGAGCCGATGGACATAATCTCGTCTTCCTTTGATCTGCGCGCTGTCGTAGAGTCTTCCAACCTCGACGCTTCAGGCGCTTGCTTCTTCCCTGGCCGATCAGATAATCGCTTGTGTCTTCGTTTGACTGTATGCGCGGACCGCGTACGAGAGCGCAACTCTGGCGCTACCCAGGAAGCTTCTGAGATAGGTACCTCGCATATCGACGGCATGATAAGCTCAGGGCCTGATATTGAAGAAGCAGACGTTGTCATCGATTGGCATCCGTTGCGCTCGTCTTCTTGATTTGGCTGTCCATGTCGATCTGATTCTTCAGGTAGATGCTTCTTTTGCAAGGATGAGATTGATGCCACAACCCAGGACTCGCCCAGTACAGAGCTCTCTGCTGTACGAGTGGAGCCCGGAGACATGTTGTGTGTATTTGTGCTTATATCCACTCTATTGGCATATGTTTCCGCTCTTCGACGTCTTGGGTTGGCCTTCAAACCAAGACTGCAGTGCGCCAGATGATGAGTATTGAAAACAGCTGTAGTTCAACCGACAGATATATCTACCTTGATGCTCTCGTAATAAAAAGCATCGCATTTATGCCATTGCGAAGGAATGCGCCGGCGATCGAAACTGTTGTTATAGTGGGGAAGCGCACATGCCATTCATGGACTTCCCAATCGGGCCGATCCAGTTGGACTCGCGTCGTGTCGCGGAAAGAAAAAATTCCTTGCCATGAATCAACCAACCATGCGTCGATTATCCGCTCTCTCCTGGCAGCGCTCGTTCTCGAAACGACCGGCCTTCGACAATGGCGTGAAATATTTTCGATCGCCTAGCACGAGACTGCAATGGCTGTCCACGACCTCGTGTCGATCCTGTTCGTGCTCCGAAGCGCACGCTGAACAGTCCGCTCCCCCAGCACCCACCGCGTCAAATACAGATTATCGAGCTCTAGGAACCGCTCAAGATCTCTTCACAACCTCTATCTACAGTCCTGGATCGCCTCTTTTTCTACCCAACGGCACCCACGTCATCAACCGACTGATCTCGTTTCTCCGCACTCAGTACTTGCAATACGGATTCCGCGAAGTTCTGACGCCGACAATCTACAAGCGTTCTCTATGGGAGGTTTCGGGGCATTGGCAGAATTACAAAGATGACATGTACGAGGTCAAAGGTCGAGGAGCCACAGGGGAAGCCGATGGTGAAGCAGGCGAGGACGAATCGTACGGCCTGAAACCGATGAACTGCCCCGGCCACTGTCTCCTTTTCAAGTCACAGAACCACTCATATCGCGAACTGCCCATCCGCTACGCCGATTTCAGCCCTCTTCACCGTAACGAAATCTCGGGGGCCCTGAGCGGGCTTACCCGTGTCCGACGATTCCACCAGGACGATGGGCATATCTTTTGCCGACCGCAGCAGATCAAGGGGGAGATTGCGTCCGCGCTGGGGTTCGTCGACATGGTGATGACAACGTTTGGTCTGGGACCATACCGTCTCGTACTCTCTACTAGGCCGGAGAAGGACTTTATCGGGAGCTTGGAGCTGTGGGACAGCGCGGAGGCTCAGCTGCGGGAAGCCTTGGACAACAGTGGGAGGGAATGGGCGATGAACGAGGGTGACGGTGCTTTCTACGGGCCAAAGATCGACATTCAGCTGCAGGATCAGGCAGGGAAATATCACCAGTTATCCACGATCCAGCTGGATATGAACCTGCCGCAACGGTTTGGGTTGGAGTACCAAGTTGCGGAGGGTGAGGAGGACTACAACCCGGCGACTCCAGGACGAGCGACGCCCGTGCTGGTTCACCGGGCCAATTTTGGGTCGCTGGAACGCTTCCTTGCCCTGCTCATCGAACAATATGCCGGTCGCTGGCCGTTCTGGCTCTCCCCGCGCCAGGGTATCATTCTGACCGTCAACCAGGATGAGGCGGTGCTGAAACAAGCGCAAGAAGCTGCCGCGAAAATCTCTGGCTTCCGTCCGCTTGTTGCTGGCAAGGACAATGCAACTTCTCCGAAGCCTCTTTCATCCGTCGACTCGACCTATCTGATCGATGTCGACACGAGCAGCCAGACACTCGGGAAGAAGATCCAACGGGCCAAACAGATGAAGTACAATTTGATCTTCATCCTTGGGCCTAAAGATGTCGCGGATTCAAGTATCACTGTGGATGTGACAGGTCAAATGCAAACCACAACGGACGCAAATGGCCAGAAGTTGAAGACAGTGCTCGAGACAAGGTTGGGGGAGAACGCTCTCCAGAATCCTCGGGCAGTCAGGCTGAAGGTCGATGAGGTCCATGATCTGTTGGTGCAGCTGGAGAAGCAATTTGTCTGATGTATCCTATATCCCATGGTTGTACTATAATGTTCACTGCTAGTCTCGTACATATCCTGTATCATATCCCCAACAAACCCAGTTCCATATCCGGAGCACTAGTTATTTCTGTTCTCCACAGCTATTCCCAATCGAGTATCAGCTCCGTCCTCCGGCTTCGGGCTGCTAAGTCTCCATTCTGCATGTTAGGGCTTTCGGCTCTCACTTCCAGACTCTCCATCTCCTGTCAGTTTCAGGGTTGGCTTGTAAGAAAGCATGGAAGACTTTCTTTTCGAGTTGCATATTAAAATACTACGGAATGAGATGACCATCTATCTCCGTACTGACTAGTCGTCAGAACTGCCCAGAAGGGTGAATAGCAGCCCGCCTGACTTCCCATTTGCGAACTTGCTCCGGATAATTTCTCCGGAGTATCACCGATAAAGTCCGTCTTGGGCCTCATCGCGGCATGCCGTTATTTGACAGTCTCTCAAAGAAGCTTTTATGCTTTTTCGTTTCTGATCCGCTCGATCAGGATCACTAATCGATTCGACCTTTGGGTTCCACGTTCCAGCGCCCAGCCTCCAACGACGTTACTCCTTTTCTCTCAAGTTATTCTAGAAAACAAGCAGCTTGCGAAACTTCCCGAGTCGCAGTAGCTTTTGCCCCCCTCATCCCCTCTTCTCACTCGCCGACTGCGGTCTCCCACCACCCCCCCACTGCCACTACAACCTTTTCTTCGCTCTGTTTTCCTTTCCGTTTTTCGCCTCTTGTGGTTCAAGTCCAATTCTTCTCATGGAGGGTTCCGCGCAGTTTGTTCGATCTTCAGCGATCATATTGATGCGCGACCCTCGTTGATTTCATGGTAGTCGAACCAAGCAAATCGGGCATGGCCGACGTCCCGTTGAAAACTAATCTGACGCGGAAGAGCGCCTTCTCATGTGAGGCCTGCCGCAAGCGCAAGGTGGGTTTTTCCCCCTGTCCGCTCGGGTGAATTCCGAAGGGCATATAGGATCCTCGACGGTTGGACCTTGTTTGTTTATCAGACCAGACACTTATCAGCCGTGGCTATTTAGGTAAAATGCAACGGTGCAAGTCCGTCGTGTTCGCGTTGTGCAGCTCGTGGGGAAGCGTGCGTTTATAGCTTGTGCGTCTCCGATCCGTATCCCCGGCTGTTCCTGCAGCTTCCTGCCGATCCGTCCCCCTTGCTAACGTGTTGAGTTGTTTTTAGAGCTCCGACCCTATCGTACACCAAGCAATTAGAAGCTCGAGTCGCACAGCTGGAAGATGCTTTGGCCAATCTGCGGGGTCAGCAGCGGCCCGACACAGAGG